GGGATTTGGCACCGTGTATATGTGGTGTTAACCGACGTTTCGGAGGAACGTATCGCATCCATCTTCAGGGTAGAAGAAAAAGTATAAGAAATCTGCAAGCGAAGAGACCGTGAGAACCGGTAAAAGCAGACTCAGTCTTTCTTATACTTTTTCTTCTACCCTGAAGATGGAGGCGATACGTTCCTCCGAAACGTCGGTTAACACCACATATACACGGTGCCAAATCCCAGAAGACTGCTTTCTTCATAGTCACTGCCGTGAAAGCCTCAAATCTTACTTATTTTCGATTGTTGTAAATGAATTATATGGTCGTAACCCACAGATTGGCGTGCCAGTGTGTACTCTGTACTTAGAGACGTGGGCCTAAAATGGCATATGGCAAAAGTCGGTGATGTTGAAAATGTTATATTATTTATTTAAAATTTAGTTCGTCACTCCGAGTTTTACAGATTGATACACAGTACACATTCTGACGCTTGTGTTTATTCGAAAGCGATTTGGATGTGATTGGTTGGAGAACAAAAATATGTCCTTCAGTTTAAATGTTATCTGTACGTGCACATTTCAAGGACTTCGTTTTTCTTCATGTATGCAAGAAAATCATTTCATCCTGTAGGAATATGATTACCAGCAGCAGTATGGTGAACAGTTGGTGCCAATCAGATAATATATATGAAAATAACAAATACCGTTTTTAGTTGATGTTTTAAGATAATTTTAACGCTTATAATTATAAATAGTATATTGAATTTGTGATATTTTTTAAAATTTATTGATTTTAATTTGATGAAATTGTGCACTTTCCAATCAATTATGTTCTAAACACGTTCCAACTTGCGTTATATAATACAACTTGAATATTTAAAAGTATTTCAATTGTTAAAATGCTGTATGCATTATTGTGGAAGGTATATTTTAATGTTTTCTTGATTTAATTTCGATTGCTGTAAAACAGTTACGGGATGGTTACCAATATATTCATGTCCTGGTATACACTTTGTATTTACGTAAGAAGTCCCGTAAACTAACATAAGTAGATCATTGATACTGTAAATGTGATTGACATTATTTTTTTTTAAATTCGCTTCGTGCGGGGCCCCTGTCACGGCGGCCACTGATTGGTCTATTGTAGCCTGCCCCGGGTGATTATGATGATGGAGAATTTGGTGGAATGAAGATTGGCAGGGGAAACCTAAATACTCGGAGAAAACTCGCCCCAGCGGCACTTTGTCCACCACAAATCTTACTTGACCAGCCCCGGGATCGACCCCGGGCCGCCGCGGTGGGAAGCCAGCGACTAACCGCTTGAGCTATGGCGCGGCCACTCGCTCTTGTATAGAGATTAAAGCAGCCTATGTACGTATTAAGATACAGACATTTCAGAGGAATATGTAGAACATAATTGCATAAGTAACATTCGTGAAAGCGTATCCTACAGTTCACTGTTTGTATATGCTCATATCAGCAATGTTTATGGAGTAGCTGTTGTATTTCTTGGGTATGTAAACTCATTATCTATGCGTACTGATATCTGTATATTGAACAGATGGCGCTGATCTTTATAACGTACCCGAAACTCACAAGTATGGATCAGTACATTGATTACTGGATTTTATTTTTCTGTTAGTATATCTTTAGAATTTATAGTTTTGAGTTTTTATTAGAGAAGAGTCCCTCCTTCAAGGGGATGCGTTTTATGCTTTATAACATTGCAGGCTTTACGCGTCTTGTACGCTCTTTGCTACTTCTGAACCAAGTAGGGATTTTCATGAAGTAAACTTTATGCCACTGTAGGCGAGTGAAACGCTGTATATTCCAGTCTCCCTGTATTAAGAAAAACAGCATAGCGGATTCCCGAATTTGTGAGTTGGGAGAAAATCGGGTACAACTCAAGTAAATTTATGGTTGCAAATCACACTACTCCATATCCAAAATCTTTTTGATATATTCGGAAATTTTCAGTATTTTTCATTTTGAGATTTTTTCTAAATTTTTCAAATTTCATATAATTTTGGAAACATTCACTTTGTTGGAAGTGTATACTTTCTAATTTTGATGTTTCTGAAAACTTTAGAACTCATATATTTTATCATGTAACGTTGAAGTACTTGAGGTTTTCATAACGGTGGTTATGAGGAGTAATATCTCTTGGACTATAACACCGTCTAGCCCGTTGAAAGTCAACCGATGTTTCGGAAGAAATGTCGCTTCCATTTTCAGTGTTGAAGAACAATCTAAGTAAGAAGCCAGCATAAAACTGAAAACAAGAAAGGCGTTACTTATTCTTCGACCCTGAAGACCGACGCAAATTATTTCTCCGAAACGTCGGTTTGCTTTCAATGGAACACACGGCGTTATATACCAGAATCTAGAACTCTTCGTACATATAATAACCTTTGAATTTTTAAAAGTATTTTCAATTTGTCTGTTCTATTAAATCTTGGAAAATACACTATATCCACTCACACAAGTCGCTGCGATCCATCATTCGGGCATACCTCTTCTTTTCCTTTCAGATGTTTGCCTTCGCTTGTCCTAGGAGATCTGATTACCTTAAATAATTTAACATAAATACATAGCTTAACTGAAATACAAAATAGAATATACGAATAGGTCACATTCGATATCTTAATCGATACTTGGTAATTAAATTTATATTACAAACTTGGCTCCGTGAAGCTAAGGTCAGCGCTTACCATGTACTAAACGAATCTACCTCTAGCGCATGCGTCAATCCTACCTGTCCTTCCCCTGCATTTCCCTACCATGGCAATCTGTTCCCTCCAGAACAGAGAAGCAGACTTCCCGCATAGCGCTGGATGGAGAAGGACTTGTGAATCGTGGTCAGGTTGGTTATTATGAAATAGTGTTGGACTTCATCTTTCTCTTCTTCCAGTAGGCAGGCACTCGACAATGCGGTGTCCGTTCCCTCGGGATTTACTTTGTCTTTCGAGTTCTGAGGTTTGGCCGTGGGTGATAGAAAACGCCCGTTTCTGTTTGGGTTCCTTACCTGTGTGTATAGCCCACATATGCACGCACGCGCGTACTATCCGCCATAACACATAACCAAGATACCATTTATGAAATACATACCGTTGCAAAAGAAAACAGAACGCAAGAAATAAAAACCCTGTAACACACCATATAATATTTTACAGTATTATAAATCAGTATATATATTAAATTATTTAATAGGAACCAATTAGGATTTTTAGAATAATAAACTTTATGATGCACAGTCCTCATAAGCTATCTAATATTACAATACTGTACAAAAATTTACGCAAATCATCATATGTATCTGATGATGGCCCTGCGTGGCCGAAAC